CCATTTTGCTCTGAACCATTTTGCTTTTTCCCGGCCCGGGAAAAAGCAACTTGGAAGTCTGAACCATTTTGCTTTTTCCAGGCCCGGGAAAAAGCAAATTGGAAGTCTGAACCATGTTGCTTTTTCCCGGCCCGGTAAAAAGGAAGTCTGAGCAAACTGGCCTGACTGAGCCGTCTCTTGTTCATGGAGGGTTGCGCCCAACCAAAAACACACCAACATGAAAATGTCTTGGTTCGCTGGCTTCCTGTTCCTCAGCAATCAATGTGTCAGTGATCAGAGGACACAAGACGTGCCAGGGCAACTATCCTTGAAAGCCTCTAGCCCCAACGAAAAACCATTTTCGCCGACAGTGGTAAAACCCCACGCGCGAAAGCTTGCGAAAGCTTCGCGAAGGTCCTGCGAAAGGCCTGGGAAAAAATGAAAGGACTTTTGAACAACCCCCATATATGTATTTATACATCATATTAATATGCTCATCACTACTTGAGAAGACTGTGCCATTCGGTTCAACGCCAAGCTGAAGCTTTGATTTGGATCGAGCAGTTGGGTGTGCTGCCTTGAGGCCAGTTACCGAGACTTCCTGAGTGAGGAGTGTCAACATGTGTCAACAAAGCATCAAGTGTTTGGGTCGGGCAAGGTCGGGGGTATCAAATGGTATCAAAAAGCAAGTTGAATACCATTCAGACAAACGAGCCCGGGCAGCAGTTTATGGGCCATATCCATTTCCCTTTCTCCCATGTGTTATTTTTTTCCATATGGGTCACGCAAGATGATCGTGTCGCAAAAGTATCGATTGGTGGTTCCCTCTTTTGTTGACCACTTTTCCGCGCTTCTTTTCTTCCACCTCGTCCAAGCTTGTCGGCCGGAATGCACAGGGAGTTCATCCCTTCGTCCTGGATTTCTCTCTACGACTCTACAACAACTAGGTCAAGTCTTGTAATCAAACCCTCCACCCGTGAAAGAACGCACAGTTATAAAGTTGTTCGATTATTTGAGACCCCTCACATCACCGAGTTCCGGCCATTGTCTACTTGATCTATTCATGATAGGGCTCAAATTTTGCTGTTGAACGATGTTGAAGGTGTTCTTCTGCGAAAGAAACCACGCGAACCCGAAGTTCGGCACACTTCTACACTTCTCTCATTTTCTCTCAACTTTCTTTCTCTCTCTCTTTCTTGTCTTTCTTTCTGTCTCTCTCTCGCTGCGGTGTTTGGAGTCTTCCAAGTAGGAGTGGTCAGTTGCCCAACACATCGTGCACCCGTTTCTTTTTGGACGGCCATTCGTGCAAGGACTACAACTTCAATGTTTCTCACTTCGCTGGCGGGGATCCCACCGAACGGCTCTCCAAGGCACGCGCGACAGAGGTGAAAGGACTGGGACTGGGGATGAGGAGACAAGGGGACGTCCATCATTTGGAACACCTTGGCTTGAAGCTTGTGGAAGATGCTGAGCGGGTTAGATCTTGTTGGACAGTTACTACTTGTCCTCCAGCTTGGCTCAGCTGAAACAAGGATGGGCTGCTGCTTAGAAAGGGTGTCCTTTCGTGATGAGATCCCTCGTGTGCGCAATGTCATGATGCTCTCACTTCAACCAAAGACCTCCATTGATGAAGAGATGAAGATGATCAAGGCGATGAGTGCCTTGCCACAGTCGCTGGGCGCAGAACGAACACAACAAGTGGCCGTCCTTGACTCATGTGCTGCAACTCATCGGACCCTAGTTAATACGTATGTTTAGTTTATGGTTCTGATATGTTCCGATGTGTTCTGAGGAACACTGTCAAATGTGTCTACTTAGAACAGAAATTGTCCTTTGAGAAGGAATGACGTACAAACCACCTGTGCTGGGTAGCTAACAGCAACACATCACACAGTTTACTGTAATTCCTTAGGCTGGAGGGTCCATCAAATGGTGGAACATCGGAAACTCGACAGCTTCATGCTCAATTGGAACCCCGTTTCCTGGAGTGTGGAAAGCCAGGCCATGCCAGGTCTATTTAGTCGCCCTCCGGGTTGCCGGGTTGGGGAAGGTCGAACATTCAACAAGGATCACTCTGTTCTCAAAGCCCTCATTTGGAGGACCAGAGGACAACTAGTCGGACCTGTTGGCGGCCTGAAGTGTGAAATACCATTGGCCGTGATCCCTTGGAACGCCCATGATAGTCTGTGCAAGTTCTGTAAGTGGTTGGACACAGAGAGGGTTGGACACAGTGCTTTTTCGCCCATTTGGCCGAAAGCTGGGGCCGGTTCAGAAGAGTCGTGGCCAAGTGAAGCTGCCAAAGAGCGGCGACGGCCATAGCAATCTACGGTTTTTCATGAGTTGATGGCAGTAACATGGTAGTGTGAGACAGCTTTTCATGGCAGATTGGTTAGACAACCTATTGAAAGACATGAAGGAGCCCGATGCGGGTGCGGGTCATGTTTGACATTTGCTAGTACCTGGCCACCACGCGCCACCACAAATCTTTCTCGGACTGTTTGTGTGGCTCGGCTGCCACGCGGTTCCCGCTTGTGCTCAAGACACTCACCATGCTTGGGTTGGCCAGCCCGCGGTCCCTGAAAGAGGGCATTAAGGCTCAAACCAATGGCCATTCCCACGGTACATAAGCTCAACCACATGCACTTGGCCGGTGCACTAGTACAAAACAAGGGCTGACAGGCACTTAGATGTTGGAACACGTGGTGAATTGTGAAGAGATAAGGTTGAAATGATGTAAGATGATGTAATCAACAGATTTGCAAATTGTATCATGGAGGAGAGAAACACATATTTATTGGACTCCCACTGGGGGCACCCGATGTTCCTCCTTCGCCCAGGAAGCTCCCAACGATCTTACGGAGCCAGGTCTATACCGACCTCCGACTCCCAGGTGCGACGCGACCGATGGAAGATGTGACAGGACCTGACCCAAAGAAGGGTTTTCACATGTTTTTCTAGAAGATCCTATCGGAAGCCTCTCAGAACATTTCGATACATCAGATTCGTTCAGAGTGATCGTTGAGATCCGAGAGAATCGTTTGTCCAACGTCCGCCCATCAGAGTTGCGATGTCAAGCGCCGAAGAGACGACCGCCTGGGCCGCAATGATCCGCCAGGTGGGCAGTCGCACCCCTCCGGAAAGAACCGGAGCCTGGTGTGGTTAACGGACTTCTCCTCCTGGGCAGACTTTGAGGCATGGCTTGGGAGAAAATGCGAGTGAGTCACTACGAAAGCACTAGCACTCCTGTGCGACCTGGTGTTTCTGTTAAAAAATCATCAAACACATCGTGATAATGACGTGCTCACAATGACTGACGAGCGGAACCAACGAATGGAACAATCTCGCATCCATCCCTGCGTCGACAACCGACTGCAGAAACAGGTGCTTCTTCTGATGGGATTGTACAGAATCCCGCAGGACATGTCGATTGTTATCCTTAAGTTGAGGGTGTACTATGAGTGACTATGAGCAACTTCCCAGGCTAAAGGCAACTATGCATGCAAGAAGAGTGGACTTCACAACACAAGAGCAGCCCCTAACCCTGTGCTGCACAGTTGCGTAGTAATGCGTAGTACGTAGAGCAGAGATGAGCAAAGGAAATGTCGTCTTGGCACCTTCGGAGCACATCAAGCATGCAACGACCTGGTGGACGTCCCTGAGACTCAACATGACTCTACAACCAATAGACTTTGGCCATTCTTCAAGGGCAAAGGCTATGGAGGATACACCAACTACGACAAGAAAGGAAAAGGGAAGCAGCAGAAAAACAAAGGATGGAACAGGTAAAAGACTGGTAAAGGAAATGGCCTCCCGGCCTCCCACAAGATGTTTGCAAATGCTCTTCGCATGTTGAACAAAGATGTCGATGCGAAGGCCTTCGAGTCGAGCCAAGATCATTTGTCGTTGATGATCTCCTTCCAGAGCATCATCGAGCCGCATAGTCGCGTCTCCATGCAGACCCTGAGCAGCAGATGTTTGTTTCTTTGGTCGTAGATGTTGAAGAGATATTTTCAGGGGGTTCTGTCTTTATTGTCAGGAAGGACTGCCTTAAGCAGAGTCATGAGCAGATATTTTAGGTAGTCAAAAGCTTTGGGGCCTTATGTTTGTCAGCAAGGCAACGAAAGAGGGTTTTCTTGAGAGGTGCCAGACAAAGTTTCATTAGGACATGAGCCTGCAAAGCTCACGTTTTGGCCCTAAACATCATGAGCTTTTTCGCAGGTTTATACCAGCAGTCACAAGTAAGGTTTCACGTTTCATCTAATTTCATCGCCTTTGCTCCAGACACCATGATACACCGGGGATCTTGACCCTGACAGGGCATTAAAGTGCTGAGTAATGTCTAGTATAGCAGCTGGTGGATCAAAGTCTCATCCATGGATCGATGATCGATGGGTCTGACACCTTGTGCTCCACCGAGTATCGTCCCCGGCCAACGGGGTATCTCCTTTCACACTCGAACGCGCACCTTTTCCTTCTCCATAGGGCCATTGGGGAGCCAAGAGAACATAAAGAGCGGTGTAGATGACCCGAAGAAGCGGTGTGGGAGGTTCTCCCGACTCTTTTCAGCGAGCGGGTTTGGAGAACCCGGCAGCTCGAGTCATGTGAGGTATGCCGATCCCTTGCCCATGATTGAGGGATGCTTGTCAGAAGGGATGCTGGAGGTCATGTTGGCTTGGGAAACACCAGGGGTGGGATGTATGTCAGACAGCTTACAGGTGCGCGAACGCTGGAGAATCATGTCTACATTGCGGAAGGATATGCGACCTTCCCTGGAGGTCTTCCAGCAGATTTGAATTTGTAAGCGGACTTACAGTTGGCCATTGAAGCCCAAACACTTGCAATGGTCTGGCCTTGGTTCCCTTTAGTCGCTTCCAGTTCACCCGGTCGGACCTGGGTCACTTCTCCATACGGATTTTTCAATAGCAGTAAACAGCAGCTCAGCTAGGTTTTCTTCCGAGTCTTTCCATTTTGGGGTCTTCACACGGAAAGAAGCACCGAGGCGTCCATCACATTGTGATGTTTGACAAGGCTCACATATAGACCTTATATATAGACCCCTAGTAGCGTCCTGGCTCCTAGTAGCGATGCCCTTTGCTCCTAGTAGTATGGCCAGGAGCCCCTAGTAGCTTCTTTGCTCCTAGTAAAAAAACACCGAGGCGTCCATCACATTGTGATGTTTGACGTGAAGAATGAACTGACCTCTGATCAACGCACCTCGCTGGAGAGTTCCATGAGAAGCTTGAAGCAGCGGCCTGGTGCACCGACGCATCCACCGACGCATCGCTACGCATCGATAAGCATCGCTAAGCATCGCTGGCCTGGCCAGGCCGTCGTGGATCCACGGTTGTAACTGTAAGCAGTGCATGAGTTGTACGTGGGTGAAATTCGAGTGGTCAGCTCCTTTGCTTGTGGGTGACCATACGAGCAATGGTAGTTGGTTTTGAATGACTAGGTACTGTTGGAATGTGGCACATATGTATTTGCTGCGGAGTTGTATATGTTTGCCACATCTTTGGAACTTTGGACATTTTTGCGCACAAGTGCAGCGTTTCCAGTTTCGAGGCTACGTGAGTGCACCCTCGGTGGGCGTTGGGAATCCACTGAATCCGTTTTTGAAACAAGCTGTTACTCATACAAGAGGTCAAAGCTTGAACGCCCCCCTGGTGAGATTGATGCTTTTCACCTCATTTAGAAGAGGATTTGCTTGGCCACATTTTCCACAGAACGCAAGGACCTGGCTGGACCCAGCACTTCTTGGAGTAGTCAAGTGAGTCCGCTAGTGCATTCATCCGCTTTCTACATTGAAAGAGCAAGATGTAGTGCATTATGGTAATGAGATCAATAGCAATATAGATAACTATATAAGAGATACAAGATGATACAAGAGCAATACAGAAGCTCACAATAAGAGGACAATCACAATAGAATAACAGTATAACTGATTAGAACACTGATTATTCTTGGTAGCATGTGGTAGCTATATTGTATGATTATATGTTGTATGAATGTCTAGTGGCCAAACAGGCAGTTATATATACAGTAGTTCCTCCTACAAGTTCTGAGCTCCACATCAACTTTTGACAAGCTTTTGAGGAGCATCAGAGAGATTCACAGCATTATTGTGGCCTCCGACTTGTCGTCGCGGGGGCGGGTTGCTGCCCTGGTAGACTTCACTTCCATCGAGAAGTATCAAGTACTCTGGCAGCCGCACCGCATCGTCCCAGACGCATCCGGTCGACGTGCGGTTTCGGGGCCGTCCCCAGCGGAGATGAAGCGGGTGTTGAATATTTGTCTTGAAAGAATAGCTCCCTCTCAGTTAAAGGTAATGCCGTGCTCAATATGGGTGTTTGTGGTTCATCCTCCAGAGATGGTGATCAGAGCATGCGTAAGGTTGGTGCCCTCGAGCCAAAAATACCTTCTCAGGGAAGTGGCTACTGTTTCTTTTGTCCAGAGCCCACAGCCAGAAGCCTCATGCATGGATGTTGACTGTCCGAGAATCGAAGACAATGCTTTCTAGCTGTTTGAATGCTTCCCCCCTCTTGCTGGTAGTAAGCCGACGGGAGACATGTTACAAGAACTCCCCTGAAGAGTATGTACAGACAGTCAACCCCGAACATGAAACTTTCAGCAGCTATTCTTCGTCACACTAGGTCCATGTTAGTCAGAAGAACGTGTACGTGCTTTGAAGCATCACATGAGCCTCATGACTCATGAGAATCCCTCTTTCAAGCCCTCCCTCAGGTCTACGAGAAACACCCCGCGCACTTGTCAATGGTCGAACAAACCATTAAGCCGATCATGACGCCTGGAACGCGCGCGGCCATTCAGTGTCTTGGTTGTGGGCGGGCCATGGCAGGCCATGGCTCGCTACACAGCTAACCGAGCTGCAACTGGTTGAGCCTGGGATGTTCATCGATGGACTTGGTCACCAACGGCCGAATGGTTCATATGCCAAACGTACCCGCAAGTTTGCAACGTCAGCAAGTTGATTGAGATGTCTTGTAGGGAATGGTTTGCCCACCATGGATTTCAGGACGGAAAAGATCCTAAAGAGTTGGTAGATTGGTAGATGAATATGCAGAAACCAGGGTTCAGCTGACAAAAGCATGACGGCACTTGGATGATCAAACATATATTGATGTGGTCCATTGCCCCAAGATGGGAGTGGGGAAAAACCATGGAAACACCATCCTCTAAACAAATTCAATCCAGAGTTAGGTGAACAAACTCCCCAAGACTACTTCTATTCGATCCCGTGCCGGAGAGGTTGCAAAGTTTGCCAAACCTGTCCGATTGATCGCCAAGTAGCAGCTTGGGATGCCCTTTGCTTCTAGTAGCGTCCTTGCTCCTAGTAGGGATGCCCTTTGCTCCTAGTAGCGTCCTTGCTCCTAGTAGGGATGCCCTTTGCTCGCGTGGGGGGGGTGATCCAGGAACTAGCGCACACGGAAGCCTCTTTAATTTCCTACGAGAACTCTGAAGGCAAGCAATTTTGATCTTCGTTGGTATACCCATAGTCATGTTCTTTTAAAGTTTCGGACACCTCTGAGATGTAAAGCATGAACTGAGGTTTGCCAGCTGAGGAGGGCAAAATGCCTTGGTCAGCTGCGAATTGCTTGAGAAATCCGAGTTGGAAAAAAATCGCGCCTCACACTGCACAGTCACAGAACAAGAAACGCTAGACTAAGCCCGTCACACCGTTAATACGAAACAAATGGCGTGCGTACATTATATAACTGATAGTTGTAGCTCCAAGAGTACAATATGCAAGTGTTTGTTTCTGGCAGAAAGTCAGACTTTTGGGGGCACAACTGGCTTCGAAGTCTTCAATGCCCTGTGCATCCATTTTCAAAATCAAAAGACGTGTTTGACGCCGATCTGCATGAAACACCCTTGACTCAGTGTCACAAACTTATGAGACAATGTTTATACACTTAGGACTGAACTTTTGAGAGCCAAGCATTGACGATGAGTGACGACGACCTATAAATCAAGGACAACTCCCAAAGGAACCCAAAGGAACCACGTAAAAGATGCAGGTTGCCCATGGTTGCCCTGGTTTACACACACACACACACCAATGACATGACTCACGTGTTCTAAGTTATGATGTTATACATGTTATCCTGTTATCCTGGTCATATGTCATAGCTGGGTCCCTAGGCTTTGCCGCTGGTCATATGTCATCCACGAAGTTGGCGCGCCAGGGAGCACACTCGCTCTTTGCGGGTGTCTTCATCCAGAAAATGCCCACGGACCTCTGGTGCTACCAACAGGCCCGAGACCTGAAATAGCGTCGTTGGAGCTGGCATGCGGGATGTAGGACTGTAGACTGTAGGATTTGGATGCCGAAATGTCTTAAGCCTTTCGGGCACGCGCTCATGGTGCGTGACCACCGGGTTACGCTGGGAATGTGCATCAGTCGTGTTGCCACAGAGTGGGGTGTTGTGAATGGAACTTTGGGCCACCATATGGCCATCTGTCTGAGTCCAGCACTATGGAAGTGTTCTGCTCGTGTGCAAATCTTCATCTTAAGCACCGGGTTGCACGTTTTGTCGTCTCAAGAGACGAGGCTTGTTGTCTCCCTCGCATCGGTTGTTGAATTTCTAGCTGCTAGCTCTTTTTGTTTTTGGGAGAAAATGGCAGGTGATCCATGATCTTCGCCCTCAGTATATCATCGACTTGGGCAGCTCACAAGGAGGTGGGAACTCGGGCATGGTGGTTGGAAGGTTCAAGTGGCGGGTCCTGGTGATGTATGGGGTGAATGCCTTTCTTTACACTTCGCTTGCACTGATCATTGCAGGAGACTTGGTAAGACCATGTAAGACCTAGGGACATCTTCACACGTAAACCTTGTCTCAGTTGAAAAGAAAAGATAAAACAAGGTTTTTTGAACCACAGTCTGTTGAACGTCTTCACATGACATTTACCTTTGCCAACCTCTTGATCGAAGACTTCATACAGCTGCTGCTGCGGCGCTCGATCTCGAAACGTCACACTTCCATCGCTTTTGGGTCGCAGGTGCACCATGTGTTGCATGGAGATGGTCGCCAGAAGGATTCTCGGATGTTCCCAGGGTTTACAGGAGGCCATTGGCATAGAATAGTAGACATAGAAGGCCATATATATTATAAATATAAATATATAACATATCATTGACACCTAATATCACCTAATAAGTCTATATAGTATGTTATAATGTTTGGCCCATGTGATGGGTCTGCCATGCCATCACTGGTCTCTGCCTGGGTCTTGTTTGCCAGGCAGCGCTGTGTGGTTCGCTTCGATGCTCAAGCTCTTCGAGATCCCTGGAAAGGCCGTGAGCTGCACCAAAGGGGTAGGAGCGACGTGGGAAGAGCTAACCCGTATGTTGCAGGGGTGGAGATGTTTTTATAGGCTGTTGGATGGACACTACGGAAGTCTTAAGTGGAGTGCCCAAAGGTGATGTTGTTTGGCAAAGGTCATAGGCAAGTGATGCAGGGAGAATCCAATGCAAAGCACTTTGATACTGTGGCTGGATGTGGCTGGAGACTAATTAATCTTGGACTTGCATTCATTCGCTATGTATGTACCAAAAAAATGCCCTTTCGTCAAGATTGCACAGCCATGTTTGCATTTGGTCGATTATGACTCTACTAGATATGAGTCTTTCAAGCAGAGATTTGGGCGGCCTACTTCAGGTTATCTCAGTGGATCTCGCCTTGGAGCAAGCTTATTGGTGAGCTGCCCAGGGAGTGCAGGGCGCAGGTGCTTTGTAGGTGACAGACAGAAATGGTCTTCAGTTGATCCATGTTGATCCCCCTTTTGTAGTCTTGACACCTGGATCGGACGCCTTAACCAACCACTGGACATTTGGGCACCAGTTTGTTCCCTTCCCCCATCTCTCTCGTCTCTCGAGGCTCACCAAAACACGTGCAGAAGCGGCCGCCAAACGATTGAAGGTGTCCAAGTTCATTGACTGGCTTGGCGGCCGAGACGGTGACGCGCGGGAAATGGGCACGGACGGGATGCCCCGCCATCCGGATCACCCAAAACCAAGAATTGGGTGAGCCCCGCCATTCGTGTGGAAACCCAAGTCGTATGTGCGTTTTCGAAGTCATAGGTTGGTGTTCGGTGGAGGCAAAACAGAATGAGACTGACTGGCGAGTTGTTTCTTCAGAGATTTATCTCCACTTAGGATTCTCGGGCCAAACCTGAATCTTTGCCCGAGCATGCTGAGGAACTATGTGGTTGGCGGGTCCAAGAACAAGGAAGTCAGAGAGAAGGCCCACGTGAGTGCGTTTGCCAATATGGCTTTTGTCTCAACAGATGGGCCTTCATCAAGCACGGACGGGTGAGTAGACGGTCAAAGGCAGGGTGTTGATCGGTGAACCACAAACAGGCTGTGACAGAGTATGGAGATGCACCAAGATGCACCAAGTATCAGAATCTGTGTTGACACTCTGACACTGGATCATGGCTGCCGGCAGCCATTGTAACCAAGGGTAAGCGGCACTTCAATCGCAATGTGTGCAGGACTCATGTTTTTTTGGTTACACTCTGCCTCACTCATATGGAAGTGGAATATGCTCCCCTGGAAGACCACTTTCCCTGTACGCACGGGAGGTGCCATCCGTGCCATCCACTCTATTTATCAGAACATGTGATTGAGTCGGAGTGATTCGGAGTGTATCATGTGCCACCTGCGGACCAGTCCCAACAAACTGCCCCGTGACGGCCGGTGACTTCTTAGCACCTGGAGTGCCAGATCACCCCGGTGAGGTGGAGCGCCTTTGTTCGGAAGCTCCGTGCATGGTGGTGTCGGCTCGGCGGCTCAGTGGAACTGGTGCCGCGAAGTAAGAGGAATGAGGGAACATGAGGGAAGGACGACCCTGACGACCCTTTCCGATGCATTCCCTACATGCCCTACTTTCGTCGCACCCAGTGTCGACTGACCTGTTCCGTCCGAAGGTCCCGTCACGACCCAGATCTGCCGTGTCAGGATTCAGACCATGACTTCGAGCACACCTACTATGAGATGGCAACACGGCTGCCACTGGAGAACGTCAACTTGCGGATGGTTGGCAAACTGGCAAACTACTCCAAGTCCTGTCAAGGGAGTCAAGTGTGACCATCAAGGGTCATTCCATATCAGCGGAATTTAAGCAAACGATTGTAATGAAATCAATACTTACAATTGTTGTGTTGCACCATATGCTCTTTGGATCTCTTTGGTACTAGCAAGGGTTTAGACTGCTGTTACATGTTGTTAATTGTTATTACTTGTTAATCATCATCACGGACAGGACATGTGTGAGGTTCTTGGTGAGGTTGCATCGTAAACCAGCAGTTAATCGATCAAGACTTAATGAACAGGATAGGCCGGCTACTGGGCATATAATCTTACAATTTCCCACAACTCCCACAACCTGTTGAAAAAAGGGCGTGGACATATGTGCCTGGATTTGCTTAGGGGGGTCCCACATTGAAATCGAACCTTAAGAGCTTCCCTCTCTCTATATTATATAGAAATGCGTGGCCGGTGCATCAGCTCAGGAGTGGTATGCACAACATGTGGGCATCGGTGTTGGCCTCGACTTCATTGTTGGCCGTGGAAACAGGAAATCAATTTTGGACTCACGCCGTTTGATGCCGTTGGTAGAAACTGGGACCACGGAGAAGTCATCAGGCAGGCTACCGGAACAAGAATGGATGACCTGGATGACCCCAGGGTGTCTCGTTCCACCTCGTTCGACGCTTCGGACGTGCCTCTTCGACCGTCAGGCCAATACCTCATCGTCGAGGCGCGGGTCGTGCCGTCTCGCGGCACTGGATGTCAGCTGCTGCCGTTGATGCCGGGGCGTCACTGGCAGGACACCAACATCTACGGTTGGACGGGATGGATGAACATCAATGACCCCAACGAGGCGAGATGCACCTCCGTTCGATGCAAGGCCCGAGTAGTCGCGGGGCCTTACGAATCGAAGATCCAATGATATCATTCGATCTAGATATTCAAGTATCGTTTGCACCTGTGGAACACACTGTTGCAGGTGTACTGAACTTGCGAAACTGTTTCACCCGTGACGCAATTGAAATTGAGATAAATCGAGTGTGGATCTTCATTTCCATCATTTCAATATATTTCAATATAGACTGTTGATCAATGAACCCCATACCAGAACGATATTTTACCTCTTCATATGGGGAGGTCAATATGTAATAACATTCATCAACAGTCAACATTTATACATGTTACATCATTTTCTTTTATGCATTTTCAGATATATAATGATTTGTACAATGATATAATATAAACATCTATTTATTCACATCACATTTATAATGATTCGTTGATCCTTTTAGGCTCGATGGAATCATTCGTGCAACCGTCCAATCCCTCAGGCGGATCTGAAGAAAGGCCCCATGGAAGCGGCCAATGACTTCGAGTTCAAGCACAGGCACAAACCAGATGATCGTGCGATGGAAGACAGGTTAACACAGCTTAACCATGGTTAATTACTGTGACCATTTTTGCTTTTGCCTTGGATGTTTTTGGTGTGGATTTGTGGAAGATGCTTTTAGACTAGGGGGTGGGCTTGAAACAAGACGCAGAGCAATCAACTTGTGTACTGAAGTTCTTCCCATTCCGCTATGAAAAGAATTCGGAGCTCATAAGATTAGTGTTTGAAAAGCAACCAACAAACTGCATAGGGCAGATTGACAGTTTGAAAAGCATTTGCAAACTCGGAGTGAGTGACTGAGTGCCCTTGAGTACTGTACTGCAACAGGTTTCGGCCTAGGTTGGGCCTGTGAGAAAGGTTTGAAACACCAGTCATCAAATCAAGTCAAATCAATTTGCGAGTGGGTCCACCATTGTCCTGAAACTTATGTGTCTTATGTAGCCCCAGGGCAGACTTCATTCGCACTGATTGGTGTGCGAAGCACTACGGCGGACTCTCGCAGACACAGAATGGCTGGTGCTGGCCTCAAGTCGGGTGCTTTTTCCGGGTTAGCTATTGTTAGCTGGTTGCGTGGTCCGGTGGAGGTCAATCGAACAGGCCATAGGTGTTTCATTCAGGCCATCAGTGTTTCTTCTTTCTTCTGTGGGACTCTAGGCTCTTGGAGTTTATTCAATTTCTTTGCTATTAGGTTGGAGGCCATCGCTAGTAGGTCGGAGGCCATGGCTATTACGTTGGATTCTCTTCTTTTGGATTTTTGGTGGTATCCTTCATCGGTGGTTGGCTCTCGGGGTGCCCTTCTCAGGTTCTTCCGCAAAGCCAAACGAGCCAGAGGTCTGAGCGATTGAAGGGCCCAGTGAGCACGAGGTGAAGGATGTGAAGGAAGGCAGATGAAGGAAGACAGGTGAAGCTGCTTCTTGGAGACGAATTCCGCGGACGACACCTGGAAGAGGCGACGCCTAGCGGAGCAAGCAGCTGGTTCGTTGGGGAGCGGTTCCAGGCTGAAGAACACCTCGTCTTTCGGGTCCCTTTCCGATGGATTTCGAAGGCTGTGTGCATTGAAGACCTGAACGAGAACGGGAAAGAACCATGAAAAACTAACTGTTTATATCTGTTTATTAAAATCAGGAACCTGTTCCAGTATTAAATGACTTTTCCAGACCTCATTTCATAAACCACCACAATGTTGAAAAAGAAGATCCACAAGATGACAAGTAGCCTGATGCTGGTATGTTAATAGCCAGTTCCGTTTTTGATGGATCAACATACAGAGACCCTGATGCTGGTTTGGCAATTTATAGAACTCCCATATTTTTCAGATATGAACCAATGGTGATGCTGGTTGTTCATTTTATGCTTAAAAAAGATAGAACACCAGGATGATGGTGAGATATCATTATTTTATAAAGGAACAGGTGTGTGTCAGATCAGAAGTTGAGGTTCAAGTCTTCCGTTCGATCGGAAATTGCATATGTGTTGATACAAACTGTATATGGGTCATTATAAACCCCTCACCCTGCCAAAGCCCATCGTATTTGTGCGCACCCTTCGACAAAAACCCATTTTATGAACACCTCACCCTGCGCTTCGTATTTGTGGACACCCCGTATTTGGGCACACCCCTTCACAAAACCCATTTTATGAACCCCTCACCCTGCCAAAGTTCATGTATTTGTGCACACCACCCCCCAAGAGAAACACACTCGAAACCAGAAAGGACAAGTATATAATCAATAAACAGATTGCTATAGAAGCCAACGCACATTTTTAAGAGAAGAGTAACAAAACAATAACATCACCCAAATATGTCAGCAAAACGAAGCACCCCACAATCAAAAACACTTGCCTGCAGAAGACGACAATGCACACCTTATACACATGTGACACATGATACATGCCATTGCTTGCAAATCTGCAAAAAAGTCAAACTGTTTATAGTGTCAAATTGTTGATTTGTTTTTGTGGTGTATATATATATACTGTATAATTGTTTTTGAACGAGATTTGTCAGAATCCAATGAGTAGAGTGGCCTGAGTTGAACTAAACCGCTTAAGAAAAAGAAAACGCATCAAAAGTACAATTGAAGATGGAATGTCTCAAGCTGGCGTCAAAAAGGACTTGCGTATGCATGTTTTTTTTGGATATGTGGTGTTTTGTTTCAGATTGGTGACTCTATTGTTTTCGTATTTGAACTGAATCGTCTTCAAAAAGCAAGACAACCGCATCAAACCTGTGATAGAAGATTGTCTTAAGCTAGTGTCAAAGGGACTTGCGGATTTATTTGTTTCTCGGGTGTTCGGTGTTTTGATTCAGATTGTTGACTTTTTGTTTTTGTATTTCAATTGAACCACTTTTAAAAGACACAAAAAGTGCATCCAAAGTGTGATAGAAGATTGAATGTTTTACTGTAGGGTCTTATCCTAAAATCCAAAGAGACGTTCTGTATCTCCCGTGCCTTCCGAGGAGCACGGAAGAGGTGCGTAGCGCTCTGAGTTCACTGAAGACCTCCGTGGCTCAAGGTGTCGCTGCGGGTGACCAGGGCGCATGACAGGGCAATTGTTAGGTTCTAGGGGTGATGTATCCAGTGCATATTGTGTACCTACTTACATGGGCGTAGTGCTTACTATGTAGTTACAAGGATTACTAAGTAGTTAGCAGACTTAATGTTGTACTTGTGCTACTTGTCTATCTTCGGTTGCTGGACTTAGTATGTATACTAATTGTCCTACTTATTAAGTATCACAGTTGTAGTTACCAAAATCTTACACACGCTGCAGGGCTATATACTCGCAGCGGGATTGACGGTTTCATTGCGTCTTTCACATGCAATGTAATGCTTTCATGCAATGCAATGTCATGTCATACCATGCCGTGTCATGTCATGCAATGCAGTGTCATGTCATGCCATGCCAAGTCATTATATACAGTGTTTGTGCAGAGCTACCTTGAGTCAACTTCATGCTATAGCTGGCTCTGAGTGATCACGCGTTTCCTCACCGAGATCTCATCCTCCCAGATTGCATTGATGGAGGGCGTGCGCAGCTTGCCAGAGGGAGTGACATCCACCATCAACGTGCTGATTGACAGGGCTCTTTCTGGAACTTCCATGGTCAAGTCAGCAGAATGTTGAGGAAGGAGCAAGTGTTGCTCTAGCTTCGCCTGACGCCAAAAATGGTTGGTGTGCATCCACGCAATCGAGATGGGGCTGGGGTTGCTGTGCAGGAAGTCCATGCGTTGCTGGCAGACATTCTGGACACAGGGTTTGTCCAGATCTTGGTCAGTGCTTTGGCCTTTGAGGTGACAGGCCCCGAAGCGAGCAGGAGAAGAAGAATGACGTCGAGCATGTCAATGCCGTGGCTCTGAATGGGTTCAGCAAGAGGACCATGATGGTGGCTCTGTTGACTTTGCTGTTTGCTGCAGAGCGCTGAGGGAGCGCGGCAGCAATGTGACTGAGAGCAGCCACTAAGGATTTGACTGGATCTTCACTGACTTGGCCTTTGCTCTTGGCATTTTGGTCATTGTGCAGGGCATCATGTGGAGCTGGTTCAAGGTGTTTGGAAGGCATTTGGCCTTGAGTGGGGGCTTGAGCCTGGTGCCGGCGCGGCCTGAGATGAAGGATCAAGAGATCCAATGTGAGCTGTTGACCCGGCCATAGGAGAAGATCTTTTGGCTGGAAGGAAGAGATATGAAGAGATGTTTTTCACAGCGACAGCACATGCCCTCGCTTGAGCCAGGGAAGTCGCCAGGCTTTGAGCTTGAGGATTTGCAAATGCTGTCCTCGTTTCGGCCTGTGAGTAAGGCCTTGGCAGACCTCACTCAAGTGGGGTGCAAGCCGATACACACCTTTTGTATAGTATGACATGCTCACATACCGCCAGCCCTTTTAGCGGTTGAAAAGGCGCTTCAGTCCGCTGCAGGTTGCCAGATCTATAACGTATACTGCGTATACATAGATATATATATATACACACACACACAAACTGATGAGCAGTCGAATCTGGAGGTGGTGGGGCGATCGCCTGGACAGCAAAGAAATGCTCCTGGAATACATGACCCGTGCCAGCAACCCAGAATTCTACATTGGAATGCAGTATGCCATCTTTTCCTATTGCAGGCTATGTCACACCGAGCTTGTTCACCGATCGACACTCCCATGAATGCGCTGCCAACTGGGTTTGCTCCCTGAGGACTTGATGTTCGTTCGAACGCTGGCTGCCCTCAAGGTCCCGATGCGCATCGATGCGCGAATGTTTGGAAAGAGTAATTTGCTTGCTTCAAGAGAACAAACCCAACAACGTTCAGATGTATGCGCGTTTGTTTCTCCAGTCAACTGAAAGGGCCTCGGCGACTGAATGCAGTGTTGCAAACACTACCCAGTCTTTGACAAAAATTTGTGCCGCTCTACATGCCAGTTGCAGCGCTACATTCGACATGCGCGAGGGCCCAGAGCAGAGCGCCTATCGGTGCCGAACGTGCGGCTGGTATGGCCTGGGCCGGGGAAAGACCTTGTTAGTTTGGCGCGCTCGGATGCACCAGTTGTCAAGTGCGGCTGATGCGTTGTAGCAGTTTGATGGTTCCTGACGCATGATGCTCTATAAGAGCAAAGTCCGTAAACCTGATGTATTGCAGCCACAGGATAGGGATGGCGTTGTTCCGTCGTGTTCCAACTAGTTGCCTTTTTTGTCGACTTGAGCACTCCTGAGAAAGAATCAGACAATTTTGGCAAGCACCAAAAATCAGGATCAACCCCAAGATCTCAAAAGTTGCTGCCACCTGCATTTTGCATCGACGAAATCAGAAGAATTGTGCGCATGCGCGCGGTCCAGGCTGGGTTTCGGGGCCCAGGACAAGTTTGAATATGACTGAAATTTAAACTGATTCAGTAGGTTTCAATGGAATTCATAAACGTGGCTAACTTGACCTAAGAGTCTGACGCCTTACGCGCCAAACTCAAACACGACATGTAGAAGCCTCATTGAATGGTATACGGTTTGTTTATTCCACGTCCCTTCTTGGTGAATGCAGCCGAGTGTGGCACGGGAAGCTTCGCACTTGATTGTAGGAAAGACGTCCCACCGTTTAAAGCGTCCAACAGTACATGCCCGACCAAGTTCACACCGTCGCCTCGCGCGTCCAAGCTTTGAGGTTCCAGCCAAAGCGTCGAAGAGCTGCTTGAGCGGGGCAGCTCAAACGTGGTGGTTCCGATCTCCCCCATTGAATGTAAAATGTTCGAGCTCGAGCCCCAAACGGGTCATTTTATGGGAAGGATAGAAAAAGGATGTGACCTCCAAGAAAATGCAATACTGAAGGTAAATGGCCCCTGAAAAGTGCCTTGCAATTTGACCCTAGTATTTATCGAAGCATGGCCGCATGGCTCTATAATATACATGGCGGAAGGAATGTTCCTTTCAGCCTGCGCCTGCAATTCAATGGGGATGTTCCTATGGTGAGAGCCTTCGCCATCAGTCTTCTGACGACTGTTTGTCGTGCGGAGATGATTTGCGGTGACTGAGCAGCAACCTCAAAGAGGGACTGACTTTGATAGTTCCAAAATGTTCCAAAAGGCGGTGCGTTGACCTTCACTTTTGATTGACGAGCGCCACATTGAGCACAAGATGTGTCACAGCTGAGGTGTTGATAGACCAGCTTGGTTGTAAGTGTGTTCCACACCTGGACCCTACGACTGTGCTCACTGCTAGACTGGCTGGCAACAGGGCACATGTAAAGTCAGACTAACTATAGGAGGTGTTTTCCATTCTGGGTAAAATGGCAAGTGGCGTGTCAAAATGGGCAAACACATGCGGTCAACCCTGTCAACCCTGTCAACTGGCAGAAACGCAACCAGGT